CTTTCCCTCAGTAAAGCCGTTAACTACACAATCATGTAATTTTGTGTTTTTGTCCGATTTTCAAAAACGTTTTTGCTTCAAACTGAATTTTGTAGTTTTGTTAATCACCTCATGGCTTGGTTCATATAACTCTTTAATAAAGACTTTTTTTGTTGTAAATCCCTATGTGAAAAATGAATGGAAACAGTACTTGTAGAACCTGTGCTGCTTAAAAAGGGGATGGGTACTGTTGCATTTTATTTGGTTTCAAATAATTTTTTCCTAAATTGGATTTTATTTACAAATAATTATACTTCAGATTTAATTCCTCTGCGTTTTTACTTCTTGTGTCATCAGACGCCCTGGAACGAATTACTTATCCGGTCTCTGGATATTGTGACAATAATAGTTCCACCTGCTCTTCCTGCTGCTCTAACTACAGCCGCGATCTACGCCCAGAATCGCCTGAAGCGTCATGGGGTGTTCTGCATTAGCCCACCTCGCATTAATATCTGCGGCAAGATATCACTTTTCTGTTTTGATAAGGTAAGTGATCAAGGTTTCACGCAATGCTTTAAGGAAATCCTTAAAATGGTGTCCTAGTGAGTGATGAATCTCACCTTGTAGATGGGTAGTTCAACCCAGGGATATTCATGCCACCGTAGTTTCAAGAATTTGCTTAATCTAATATTTGGCTTTTTAAAGCCTGAGCTGTTCAAATAAACTTTGTTTTATTACTCAGTGAAGGTGTTCTGTTCGTGTAATGATTACACCATCAGTGCCGTGGATTAGACCGATAGAGAACTTCTTTCCTTAACTCCCCATGTCAGATCTGTTGACTATAGGAGTGTACCTTTTACACATAACCTAGCAAACATAGATAAGTTTATTGCGAATATTATTATTATTATCATATTTATAATATATGATATTAATATATGTTATCCATATATATGTGTGTGAGTGTTAATAAATTAATTATATTTTTAAATATTTTCTTTCTACAGTAATCCATATCCATTTCATATTATTTACCCATAACAGAAATACTTGTAAACTTTAAACTTACCAATAAGTTTTAGACTAAAACTTTTATTCTCTCTAGGTCGGAAGTATGATTCATATTTCTGTGGATCAGTAAAATTATTCAGTAATAAAGAATATGGTAAATAATATATATATATATTATATATTTATATAATACTTTCTCTCCTTATCCATTTCACAGTGCATAATAGTGTTTCAATGTTTAAGCAATTCTTCATAACAAACAATTCATTTTATTTTAAGTAACTTTGAATGTTTTAAAATAAACTATCACAAGGTTTGCTACATATTTTTGGTGGGTCAAATATCAAATTAATCAATGAAAAAAAAAATATTAAAAAAATAAAATAAAACTTTCCAAGGACAGTTGTCCAGAGCAAAAATAAATATCCAACTTCTTCCCACCAAAAAGTGAGACAAAAAGAAAGCTTTTTACCGGTTTATACTAAGTCAGCCCTAGCCCTTTATTATTAAGCTTTTAATTTTTCATTGCCAGCTTACATACATCATGTGCTTTTAACGCAAATAAATTGGGTTTGTTAGTGGCAGCATTATCCAATAGAAGGTTAGCAATGACTGATAAGATCTCTGCTGCTGCCTTGCTAAACATCAAGATCCTCTCTGAAGGAAATGATTCGGCAGTCTAACATCCTGTCACACTGTATGCAATTGAATGTTTATATAAAAATGTTCTCATTGATCGTACATTGATTTTATGGTATTTTAAAGTTAAGCTAGTAAAATGGAGTGGTGTATAATTTTCATTAGCTTTATTTCCATCCACCTATTTTTATCCACATTTTGGAATATCACATTAAAAAAGCACCGGGTAGAAACGCCAAGATGTGGATAAATTCTAAATTTGCACGTAAAAAATTGCGCGCTCAAATGAGGCGGAATACATATTTTTGTCCGATAAGACAACATGCTCATAAACTACGAGTGAACCCCATTTACCGAATAAATCCCTTGTCCTCACGTGACTTTGCCTCAACAGTGGATGTGATTGGATAACTGGACTAACCAGTGGACCAATTTCACTGAACAATATCTCAAATATTGGTTTGATCATTCTGAAATGCCTGAGCCAAAGTCTATCATCAGGATCATTTGGTAATGACCACCCAGAAATGTCTCACACTATCGGGTTCCCGAAACACAAGCATCTGATCGCTTGATAACTTGACAACATTTAGTGCCTTTCGTCTGCACGCTCTGAGACGCAAGTCATTTATGATGGAGGTAAAAAGAGTCACAGTGGCTTCAATTGCAGCAACTTCCATTTTTATGACACATATTTTGCGCCAGTTTCCCTGGAAGGGATTTTTCTCTCTTGAACACGTGGGATGGAAACGCTGCTTTATTCGCAAATGTTTTATGCGATATTCCAGTTTTTTGCATAAGTAAAATTTGCAACTGTATATAGAAACATAGCTATTGTGAGTTATGACAAAAACGGTCAGTTTCTTTGTGTTTGTTTCAGACTGGCACTCTGACAGAGGAGGGTCTGGATGTGTGGGGCATCATGGAAGCGAGTGGAGGGGTATTTGGCGAGCTGGTCCCTGACCCTCTCTTTCTCCCTCCTGGAATGATGCTCTTTGCACTTGCCTCCTGCCATTCTGTAGCTTTGCTGGGGGGTCAAGCACTTGGAGACCCACTAGAGCTCAAAATGATTGAATCCACTGGATGGGTAATGGCTGGTTCTTACAGTGCTTCATGTTCTTAAAAGGATAGTTTACCCAGAAATGGTACCACAAAAGATGTTCTGAAAAATGTTTTTTCTTGTTCATACAATGAAAGTCAATGGGCACCAAACCTTTTAGCTAACAACATTCTTCCGAATATCTTCTTTTGTGAATGTTCAGAAAGACATAATGAGAGCTGTGATTCACATCTCATTTCTTTAAACCTTTTACATTATCCATGTTGCCATAAAACTGATTAAACAAAACCGTTTCATACTTCTCTTGTCCTCTTGCGTGCAAAATGACAGGAACTGACTGAGCCAGAGGATGAGATGGGACGTGATTCTGAATTTGGGAGAAACCGAGTGCTAGCAGTGATGAGACCTCCTGGACCTGAGCTCCTGTCAGAAGGAAATGTAAGTTGATTTGAATGAAAAGGACGGTTCAATCAAAAATGAAAATCACTTACTCGTTCCAAACCTGTATGACTTCCTCTCTTTTTGTGGAACATGAGAGAATATACTTTGAAACTGTTTTTATCCATACAGTGAAAGTCAATGGGTTTCAGTGTTGTTTGGACCCCAATGTTCTTCAAAATATCTTTTGTTTCGCAGAAGAAAGAGAGGCATACGGGTTTGGAATGACATGTGCATTAAGAAATGGTGACAGAATGTCTATTTCTGTCTCCTTAAAACAATGTTTTCATCCTAATTTACCTATCCTCTTATGTGTTTTTTACAGTCTGTCAGTCAGCCAGTAGCAATTGTGCGGAGATTCCCATTTTCTTCTTCTTTGCAAAGGATGAGCGTGGTGAGCGTTGGGCCAGGTGGAGCTTCTCCTGTCGCATTCCTTAAAGGAGCACCTGAGATGGTGGCAAGCTTCTGCCTCAGAGAAAGTGGTGAGGGCCTGACTCTTAAAACTTGGTCCTGGTTCTTAAATCACCTTCAGAAGAGCAAGTCGGAGTATATGAAACGCTACCTGCCTATTTATTTTTGTGCTCAGTTTTGTTCTGTCTTTGTGCTCTCCTTGTGACAGTGCCTTCTCATTTTTCACCCACTCTCCGGGAGTACGCGAGCCAGGGCTTCAGGGTCCTTGGATTTGCCTACAAGCACCTCGATAAGGAGACTGACCTTGCCACTGTTGAAAGGTCTGCTGTTTTTTATTAACACTACAGTTTAAAGGTTTGGGATCGGTAAGATTTTTAAAAGACGTCTCTTATGGTCACGAAGGCTGCCTTTATTTGAAAATACAGTAAGAACATTAACAATTATAAAATGATTACTATAATACAATCATTACTTCAGACTTTAGTGTCACATGATCCTTCAGAAATCATTCTGATTTGCTGTTGAAGAAACATTTCTTATTATATTTTTGTGAAACATTGTTTTTTTCTTCTCAGGATTCTTTGAGAAAGTTCAAAAGAACAGCATTTATTTGAAATAGAACTCTTTGGTAATATAAATGTATTTTTAATTTAATGAATCCTTGCTGGATAAAAGTATTACTTTCTTTTAAAAATCCTACTGATCCCAAGCATTTAAACTGTAGTGAATTTAACTATTATTGCATGCTTTACATTCCTGCTGCCTCGTCTCATTTTATAATGAAATATACGGAAGCTTTATTGTTAAGAAATGTTTTGGGACAAGCAAATTTACCTTTCAAACAAGTAAAGCATCTTTTTTTTTCTCTCTGAAACGGGATCTAGAAAAGCTTAATGTTGAGCCCTGGATAGCATCAGCTCTTGATAAATGTTTGCTTGTAGGGTGGAGGTGGAAAAAGACATGAACTTCCTGGGTCTTTTGGTTATGAAGAACCAAGTAAAGCCAGAGAGTGCTGAAGTCATTCGCACTCTTAAACTGGCACGATTACGGCCTGTTATGGTTACAGGTATGTCCAAAAACAACAAACGTAAAATAAAAACCCTTATAGTGAATGTTTATAACCATGATTTGCTTTTTGATCGTTAAATTGACACTAAACTTTGGCCTCTCTTTCTCTCTCTCTCTTAGCTTTATAGACAGAGAAGTGAAAATGATTTGTCACATTGTTTTTTTTTTCTGCTCTGTCAGGTGACAATATTCTCACTGCTGTGAATGTAGCACGTGCGTGTGGAATGATTCTGTCGCATGAGAAGGTTATTTTCGTTCATGCATCGCCCCCTACTGCCAGTTCAATGGCCTCGCTGCAGTTTCTTCAAGGAGATGGTGCAGGAGGCACCAATACTCAAGAGACTATTGATAATGCAGTACAGGTTTGCTCTTTGACCTATTAAGTTCTTTATAGGTGTTACCATTGACATGTCATGTAGTAATATCTTCTGTACAGAGTTTTTATTAATTATATTTCCTCTTCCTGTACCCTAAGGGTGCCTACCAGAACAGTGCCGGCTATCATTTGGCTATAAATGGAATGTCCTTTGCAGCACTTTGTGATCATTTCCCTGAATATCTACCCAAGGTGACTTGGATTAAGTTTTTTAGTATTGATTCATTCCAGTTTTACACTGGTGATTTGGGCACAATACTTTTTAAATGGATTTTTTGGAAATTGACTGCTCATTGTTTCTGTTACAGATTCTGATAAGGGGTACAGTGTACGCCCGCATGACCCCAGAACAGAAAACCCAGCTGGTAAAAGCACTGCAGAATATCAAGTGAGTTAAGTATTTGAAAGTTTTGGCCAAATGGAAAATAAAGAGCTGAGTAGTGAGAATTGCTTGGAAATGATCTGTAAAAAATATAAATGTATAGAACATCATTGATAAGTAAGTAAGTAAAGTTTATTTATAGAGGCTTTTCACAGATGAAATCACAAAGTGCTTTACAAAGTGCAACCAAAATAAAATAAATAAAAAGCCAAAAATAAAACCCAGTCAACTAAAAGCTTGTTTAAATAAGTGTTTAATTTAAATTATGGCACTCATAAATCAACTGTGAATACAGTAATATTGTCACATTTTTTTTGTAACACTGAATATAACGGCCATATCTCCTGACTCGTGTGTAGTTACAGGGTGGGCATGTGTGGGGATGGAGCCAATGACTGTGGAGCCTTGAGGGCTGCAGATGTCGGTGTGTCATTGTCTGAGGCTGAGGCCTCTGTGGCGTCTCCTTTCACATCCAAGTCTGATAACATTAGCTGTGTGCCTTTACTCATCAAGTAAATAACACACTTTTACCATAGTATATAATATTGTATTCTTGAATCAAGTTATTATAACATCAATATATATTTTTTATTTATGTGTATTTATATTATTTGTTATTATTCTTAATAAAAATAATTGCTTTTATTACAACAATTTTTTACTATTAATTACAGTAATATTAATCATGTTTATTTTTAATCAGCCATTGTTTTAATAATAATACATTTTAGTAGTAGTATTCATTGCATTTTGTATTTTTGACTTAAATTATAATATCAATATATGATATGTGTAATCTTTTTATATTTGTTAATAATAAAAATAATTACTTTTTTATTAATTAAAATATTGGATGATAATAATGATTGTTTATTGAATATATATGTATAATAAATACATATAAATAACAATTCATTTTAATAAATAACGATTATGATGTGTATTGTTATACAACTAAATCTAATGTCTAATTTGTTTGAAAACAGGGAAGGCAGGTGTTCACTGGTGACATCCTTCAGTCTTTTTAAGTACATGGCCTTGTACAGTCTGATTCAGTTTGCCTCTGTACTTATTCTCTACACTGTGAGTGTTTCCCATTTTTAATTTTCAAGTAATTTGGGCATTTTAACAATCAAGTTGATGATTTCTTTTATCTATTGTAGGAGAAAACAAACTTGGGAGATTTGCAGTTCCTCTTCTTTGATTTAGTTTTGGTGACCGTTTTGGCTATAGTGATGGGACGGGGAGGTCCCAGCGATGAGCTCCACCCCCAGCGACCAGCTGCCAGTCTTCTATCTCTGCCAGTCCTGGCAAGTTTACTCATTCACACTGTGCTGCTGATCCTAGCTCAAGTGTCTGCCCTACTTATCACTGTCTCTCAAGACTGGTAAGCAACTGACCTAAGTGACCTAGTTTTGGGGTAACATTAAAAAGCTCTGTACCCTCATAAGTGTTGTGTTATAACTATGCGACTGTTTGCAGGTATGTGCCTCTAAATTCCACTAGGACAGGGGCTGCAAACCTGCCCAACATGGAGGATACAAGTATATTTGCCTTATCGGGGTTCCAGTATATCATCATGTCTATTGTGATGACTAAAGGATATCCTTACAAAAAACCACTGTATTACAATGGTGAGAATTTTAACTTGACCCTAGACCTGTTTAACACAATTTGTTTAAAAAATATTTGACTAAACCCAGATCATTTGAGCAGTTTGTAGATTCACGTTGGTGTTTGTGTTGTAAATGTTTTTCCCCTCATCATGCAAATTAGTTTTCACGGTGATCAAAAATGATAGAATAAGTAATAATTCTCAATGGCCCACTCCTGATAACCATTTAATAATTTGTCGACGTTATTAAAGGAAATGCTCAATGCAGATGTAGTCTATGTTTAGTTATTTTAAATGTTTTGCTCTTCTTAGTTTTGTTCCTAGTGGCACTGCTGCTCTTCTTAGCTCTTATGAGCTGGCTGGTGCTTTTCCATCATACCATCATCCATCGTGTGCTGAATCTCTACGACATCACCGATATGAGATATAAACTACTGCTGGTGGCCGTAGCTGCACTCAACTTCTTCATATGCTACTTGATTGAGGTACAGACAAATACATGTCATCTGGAACATGAAACCAATATCAGTAATTGTAGTAATTGCAGCAAGTTATTTCTCTTTACAGATTCTTATTGACCAAGGTGCCCTGAACTGCCTTCGCAACCTCAGGGGAAAACGCGAGTCCAAAAAGCAGTTCAAACGCCTAGACGTCCAGCTTGCAGAAACGCCCTCATGGCCGCCCCTGAACCAGACCTTGTTCCCACCACAGTGCACCGTCATCGGTGTTAGCTAACACCTACCTCCTGTGTTTTTCAAATCTCCCAATGCACATATCCAGTGTTGCCAAAGATCTGATAGCACCTCTCAGTGCACTAGTGAGGTATGCATACCAGATGCCGTCCTTGTCTGCCTATTATATATGGCAAAAACTTATCGTACAGTAACACGAGTGAAGATCACTGTTAGTGATGGTATTTCTTATATTAGAACACATAAAGAGAAGAATTAAAAAGTCTTAAAGTCTCTTAAAGGTGTGCTGGATGATTTAGAAAAGGGGTGGAAACATATTTACCAATTTGTACATGAAAATTAACATTTTATACAGAAAAAAGGGCATATTGCCTTGAGAACTGATTGATTACTAACATTAATCCAAAATAATGAGAATGTCATTTTTCTTGGACCATAAAAGTTTTACCAAAGCATTCAAGTTGTCGTATTGGAAAAGTAATGCATACATGCTGCCTACTTTATTTCCCAGTGAAACAAAATTATTGAAAAAGATATTTTTATCTGGGCAGGAAATTGGTTTAATTGTTGATTAGTTGGAGGCATGCTTGCAGTCGATTGTAAGAAAGGGGGCGGGGTTTAAGCAAATTAAATTATTGGAGACATCCACCATGTGTCACCATAGAGAAAGCTGATGCTTTCACCAGGGTCCAGTAATTACATTTTAATAAAAAATTACAAGGCCAAAAAAAATTCTTCAAAATAAAACATGTAAGGGGAAAACATACTTTATACGTGGATTTTTCAGTTTTCTGGTTTGACTGTTGATAATTTGACACGATCCAGGATTGTTAGGTTCTTCGATGCTCATCCTGTAGTTGCTGTCATAGCAACAAGTCTATAAGCTGAAACCTGCTCAGGAGCAGCTGAGATTTGACTGCATCTTTTTTAAGGTTAAAGTCAGGAAGTACTTTCTTAACAGAGCACCCTATTGAACTAGGGACAATTAAAAAAAAAAATATATATATATATAATTGTTGAAAATAATTAAGTTGTATCATCTGTAATAGACAGAGCCTTACATTACAGTTTGTGACCTCTATTATACTGGTGGCTTGGTGCAGATAAACTTACACAACGTACAAAATGTTGTCTGCTGTGCCATTCGAAATATCTTAGTGACCCTTAAAGTGATAGTTCACTTTGAAATTAATTTTTGATATGTTTTAGCTTACCTCAAGGGCATCTAAGATGTAGGTGTCTTTGTTTCCACAGTATTTTCAATTTTGACATTTTTAGGTCAAACCGTTCTCGTCTGTCATTCATATAATAGAGGTCTATGGTCACCACCACAAAGAGCATGCACATTGCACAGAGAAGTCCAAATTAAACATGATTTAATTACTTGTAAATGTAAGTACACATTGATGGCCAAAGACACGAAACGAGCGGCAAGAGATCACTTCCAGCGCATGCGCAGACCAAAGCGCCCATTTCTTCAGATCACTTGGACGTGGCTGTGGTTACAAGAGGTAAAAACGATGTAAATACTGTTCGTTTTCTCACACAAACCCCTCGTTTCGTGTCTTAGGCCATCAATGTGTACTTACATTTACGAGTCATTAAATCAAGTTTAATTTGGACTTCTCTGTACATGCTCTTTTAGGAGATCCCCATAGACTTCCATTATGAATGACAGACGAGAACGGTTTGACTGAAAAATATCAAAATTGAAACCATTCCAGAAACGAAGACACCTACATCTTGGATGCACATGAGGTAAGCTAAAACATATAAAAAATTAATTTCAAAGTGAACTATCCCTTTAAGAAACTTTATCCACTTCACGTTTAAAAATAAATTAATTGCTAATTACCCTAGGCCTAGACTACTCTTGACTCTGATAAAAAGTTAAAATCCTGTTCAAATAGAAGAAATCGTGTAAAATTGAAATGTCTAACAAATATTTGTCTATTAGAACTTCTATGTCTTTGTCTGTTTCCTTTTTTAATTATTTTAAATATTAACAACCACTGCATCACTGAGCATAACTTAGCGTATCGATATATCTGTCCTTTCCAATGAGCACACAGTAATATAGATATTTTAATCAAATCTGCAAATTAGTTTGAAGAGCCAAATTAGCCAGAGATCAGTTATCACAATTAGAAGATCTGGCATCTCAGATGTATTAAGCAAAGAATGGAATAGTGGATTTTCATTTAAAGCTGACTTAATCATCAAGACACATCATGAAGAGAACAGACCTTTCAAAGGGAGGGAAGGTTAGAGTTTTGATTACGAGGGCATAATTTGAAGAAGAAAACAAATTCTGTGCATTGATAAATCCTTTATAACAAATACTGCAACATTCTGTGAAAAAAAACAAACAAAGATTAACTGATTTGGATTCCACGGTGACTAAATATTTTCAAAAAATGTTTTCCAGAGACGTTATTTAAAAAGTCTTTATTAAATGGGCATTTTGAAAAGTATTTACAGACCGATTTCTGTGTTCTCAGACAGGGCATGACACCCGTCTGGTCTGATTTGTTACAGCACAATGGTTGAACAATGACATATCAGATTAAAGGGTATTTCCATAAACTGCAGGAGTCAGAGATATCATTCCTGGACAGCACAGGAGACAAAGGCTTAGGAAGGAAACTTAAAAAAAAAAAAAAAAAAAAGAAAGAAAAAAGCAGGGAGTTACAGTTAGGAAAGGTAGTATGGCTCTTCATGTATAGACATTGTATTGCAAGAGCCAAAGCAACTAAGTCAACTGACTCAACACTCCAATAAAGTTGCGTTGTCAAACCACCGGTGTGACACTTTTTCTCTTAGGTTTCAATAAAGTTAAATAATCTCTTATAGGATATTCTGTAATCCAGTCATAGAGGTGTCTTTCAAATGATCTTGAAGCCATACTTCATGTAAGCTTAACATTGCACCATCATTCAATTAAAAGCCTATTCACTGATACACAACTTCATTCATTCGCTCATATTTCCTCACAACAACCTGAGTTCCTACATAAGTAAAGAAAAGAAAATGGCCAACAGCAGATCTGACGAGGAAGTGAGGCGAGGGGAGCCAGCGAAATCATCCCCCCCCCACCCCGCCCCGCCTCGCCTCGCCTCACTCCCTTCGGTTCTTTCCAGCACAACAAACATTTACAGAACTCATCCTTCTGTTGGATTTCACTTAAAAAAGCACAGATCTAAAATTGACTACCTTTAAAATCATATAAAAGCCATAGAAATGGGTTAAAAATGCCATTCGCTGCAATCATTTAATTCTGGACTAGATTTTGTTTTTATTCTTTTTACTTCATGTAGAAATCAGGACAGTCAGAGGAAGACTCATGAGTAAAACAATAACAGCAACAAAAAAGTAACCGTAAACAATAAAGAACTTAAAGTCAGCTTAAGTTTCCGCATTATACCCTCACTGTTTCTTACCCATTTAAAAACATATGGCAATTATCAGACCGAGCCAGTAATAACCAAAATTAAAACAAAAGACAAACCCAAGCAATACAAAAGCTTGAGAGTACAGTGTGGAAGGGAGGTCTGAAGAGTGATATTTCTAGAATTATTGCTGAAGGAAGCTGGTGCCTCGTACCATCCTTTTATCGGTTCAAGCACATCCAGCACTTGTGATCTTCCATTTCAAATGTCTCTTCAGAGGGCTTGCTTGCATGACTTTTCAGGCTGGCTGCCAGTGATGGCTGAGTTACGCGAGGAAGGGACAATAGTTCTGCCATTCGGTTTAGATTCTCTCTATTTTCCTTTTGATTTTGAGGGGTAGGGGCTGGACATCACAGTGAGCAGCGTCCGGAAGCGAGGTCCTCATCACAGTGTAAAAAGCAGGGAACGTTCCCCATCCGCTCCTCTGGATCATGTTCCTTTCCCCCGTTACATTCCACACACGCCGTGCTGAATTCAAGAGGGTTTTTTATACTTATTTGAAAAACATCCCACATCCTAAATATTGATAAAAATGACTTGATTTTCAACCGTATTTTGGGAGACCGTATTTCACTATCGCCTCTCGCTTCCTCCCAGGAAAGGCTGCTATTCCTATCTGCGCTGGTGAAAGCCTTGTGTACCATCTGGACCTGCTGGCTGTCGAACAACATGGTTTCCTGATCGGTTTTCCTCTGAAAGTGTATGGCTGCTTCCACGTGGAGATCTGATTGAGGATAGACAATATGTAAAATATCAAAGCATTCTGACATTTAAAATTGTCAAAATTGCTGCATCCTTGGTTCTGGAAGTACTTTTGCATTAATTCTCTTCAGATATTAGTACTAGAATAGTTCTAAACTATAAACAACTTAAAGTTTCAATGGAAACACAAAGAAAGTATCTGAAAATTGTGTATTTAATTGAAAAATACAGAATACAGGCAGGAGCCAACTTTGGAAAACAGTCGAGAAGTCGAACCACGAACGCCGAGCCAAGTTCTGGCTCGTTCACATCTCAGCAGCGCACTTGGCTCGTCGTTCGACTGCTCGAGACTGTTTTCCAAACGGTCTGTACAATTACAACGTTCTCAATGCTTCGGTTTGCATGTAGGGACCCTCATTATGCTACGGTGTTAGAGTTGGGCTATTTTGAGCCTTGTTAGTGGTTTTAACTAGCGATTTTTATTTTCATTACTCTATGTCCCATATACTAGCGTTAAAAGCTAAACAGTTTTTTGAGATAAAACTCTTTACATGCAATAATCATGAAAAAAATCTCAGAGAACGATCGACTATGTACCAACGTGTAATTCATTTTTGCTGTCGCTAGGGTGCGTCTAGATTTCTAGGCTCGCTTTTTCATAACTGTCCTTTTTACACTTAATTTTTTTGACAGAAACTTTCCTTAATCTGACAGAGTTCTTCTGTGCTCTAAATTACGCACAAATCTTTTGATAATTCGATAATCTCTATTCAGTTTTTGCAAGATATTAGTTGTTTTCGTGCCCAGGCAAGACATAGCACCATTTCATGCTTTACATTTTCAGAAAGACCTTATCCTACTAATGTCACTTCCATAATAACTTGGAACAGTATAAAAACACACACATGTCTCATTAAAAAAAATTACTTTTAGCTTCCAGAACCATGACAAGTTTTGTTCTATTCACCATGTCAGTATTTTACCGGTCTGAAATGGGTCTCTCCTGTGGAGTGTCATCAGGAGTAGCACTGCCAAGGATTCTCTTCCTGGCCTCTGCGTATTCTGCCTCTCGCTGAGCTAAGGATTTAACTTGCGGGGAGGGTCGAGTCTGCGTCACAGACGATCCTAAAGATCCATTACTGGAGGGTCGCTTCAAAATACGAATCTGTGGTGGGGGAGCTGCGGGGAGGGAGTCGTCCTGAATTACGATTGCTGTTCTCATCAGAGGACGACTCGAACTGCCACTTGAAAGTCTGGAAGAGCATAACAATTTTTTTTAATGATTATTAAAGTAAATCAAGGCGCATTGAGCAAGACATGGACACAAAACACAGAAATGACCTGACATACCTTTCTTTCTGACTGATTCGAAGCTTTTCCTCTAGTCTTCTCTCCATTTCCTAAGTTCAATGTCAAGACAAACAAAAAAAAAACAATTTTAAAAAAGAAATATAGAAATATAGCAATCTTCCAAAACAGTACATGCAGGCTGCTTCAGGGAGGGGCCTATGAAGCCACAGCAAGTTTTCAATTTCACAAAGTTATTTATATATCCATAGTGCCATGGCTAAATTAATGACAGGGCCGAATTACATAGTGCTGCTTGGGTAGGTTGACAATATAAGGCTTTTCTAAACAGAGACAGGGGAAACATACAAATGGAGGGAAACGTGTTTACAGAGTTTAGTGGAAGGGGTGTAGACGTTACTGCCAAACCTTTAAGAACATTAAGTCTCTGAGTTCAATATTTGAAAATAGATAAATTACATATTTCTTTATCAAATATATTCACTAAATCTGAGCGAAGAAAACCGGAGACAGGGTAACGTTTAACCAATTCACACAAATTGACTTCTTCTGTTAAAGGGCACAGTTAAAGGGACAGTACACACAAAGTTGAAAATTCTGTCATACATTTAATCATACACTTTATTGTAAACCTGCATGACTTTCTTCTGTGAAACACAACAGAACATGTTAGACGGAATATTATTCTCAGTCACAATTTACTTTCAATGTATTGAAAAAAAATGTAATGAAAGTGAATGGATACTGCTGAGACTGTCAGTCAATAAGATTCTGCCTCAACATAAACTATTATGTTGTAGATGAGAACAATTAAACAAGTAATTCAACGTGTTTATTTCTTTTATTAAATAAAGACAGCAGGATTTACAAACACATTAACCCACGTAACATTTAACGTTACAACAGACCACAAGATAAACTGAAAACTCGTGAAAATCACCTATTGATGGGACATCTAAATGTGAACTATCCCACGATGCTCGATATTTACACATAAAATCACTTCTGTCCACCCATATTAAGACAAGATTACAATACTTTATCTATGACAGCCAACAGGTCTCAGTGCATTCGGCAGCCATCTTTGGTTTCTGACGCGATGGCAAAGAAAGATTCCCCCTTTTAAGCATCAGAAGTTGAACCGGCTAACTACTAGCATTAGTTAGCAGGTAGTTTATGTCCTTTGCTTAAAACACAAATTGTTTTACGTGACTCACGAACGTTCCGCTTCAACTGCCATCATTAAAATCGCCTCTATTTTTACCAAACGTTACTGGTTTACAGTATAAATATCCCACATCATCTGTTTTGGGACCAGTTTCCCTTTAACTGCGGCCTACCAGCCAACTCTAAATACACAGGCGTGACTAGCGAGCTAGCATGAAGCCAGTGGCAAGAATCACCCTAAAGCTCCACGCGAGGCTTTCTGCACTGAAAAGACAGTTTGTGCAAGCGCGGAGATAGCGCAACTAGCCCATATTTACCCCACTGTCGGCGGCCTCCTCCCAGCTCTCGGCGACTTCATCATCATCCATGTTTCCACTCTTGGCTAACTAGGGGCTTCCCTCAGTCCACACGCTCACGCACATTTCCCTCTACAGCGTCAGTGAGCCGCTTAGTGAGCTAAAGTCGTACACAGTAGCGCCACCTGCTGCAGGGAGGACAGCATTACTGACTGTACAGGAGCGTGTGGACAGTAGAATTTCAAGAGCCAAATTTGTGAAGTTAACACACACACACAAAAACGTTGTAGCAAATGATTAGAAGATAAAATCTCAATAGCCTACTGCCATTTTACCATTACATTTACATTCCGTTAAATGAAGAAAGAATGAAGAAAGAAAAAAAAACGTTTCCGTTTCTGTTTGGAATGCCAGATTTTAAACTGATGGACAAGGGAAATACACATGTACTTTT